TTGCAGGTATTTTTCAGTGAAATGTTCGATTCATCCGGTGAATTTTTTCATCTCCCCTAATGCCACGACTTTTTTTCTTCAGGCAGGGGCAGGTGATCCGGAGGATAAAAAAGCCGAGACAAGGAGAAAAATAAAGACTACATATTTCTATACCCAAAATAAGAGGAAAAAGGGGTACTCGAGTGATACTGTAAGATTATAAAATGGCGTCCCTCATCCTCCACAGCATTCTTAATTTCACCCTCTCCCTTTTCATCCCCTTCGTCAAAACCGAATGAACGAATGAGAAAAGTAATTTCGTCTTTTTTCTCGATCAACGAAATATACCAAATAATAGAGAATGGGAAAAATATTTGCAGGTATTTTTCAGTGAAATGTTCGATCCATCCGGTGAATTTTTTCATCTCCCCTAATGCCACGATTTTTTTTCTTCACCTCTGTTTGCGCATATCGAGGGACACCGCACGCCATACTGGAGGCGGGTGGAAGCCCCGACCAATCGTCACCCTCGCGGGGGCGGCGAAGGGGTTGCGACCACACCCAACCACCCCACCACCACTCGGGTGGTTTTACTACTGAGGAACGGGGGGTAGGAGAATTCAAACACACGTGCGCACGAGCATCGCCGCAGATTATCGAGACAGTCGTGCGCGTGGTGTCGCACTGTGAACAACTAATTTCTGTCGGGTTTGTTAATTCGTGTTAAAAATCCAGTACTAATCAGCAACAATTTATTAATTGCATATTCACTCTGTGCGACAGAACTCATCACGAATTAACGAATTAAAATTTTTTATCAAAGAAATTAGAAATATTAAATGGAATAAAAAATCGTTGGAGGTTTTTTAATATTCGTCAACTATTAATTATGATTAATGGTGTATTCAGTAATTGAGTGGAAGTTGGGAAGTGAAGAATAAAATGAGTCAATCGGATGATTAATTATCAAAACTTATTGGATTGAATAAGGAATCGTCGAACAAATTATTATTAAAAATTATCAAATGAAACAACTTTAATCTATTAATGAAAACGTGAAATCGAGGTCATGAAATTAAACATCAATTACTAAAAAAATTAATGAATGAAAAACACTGACAATTTGTTTATTGTGGAATAAAAAAATTGAACATTACGCGTAAATATAAGTAAATGGATTTAAAAATTGATTAGAAGTTGTGAAGTGAAGAATAAGACATTTTAACTCCAAATCGAGTAATTAATTATCAAAAAGTTATTGAACGAAATATTAAATCGTTGAAGTTTATTCGATGAACGTGAATAATTTATTCATCAATACGACACAAATTATTATTGAAAATTATCAACTGAAACAACTTTAATATATTAATTAATGGAACCGTGACATCGGGGACATGAAATTAAGCATTAATTCCTAAAAAATTAATACATAAAAAACATTGCCAATTTGTTTACAGTGGAATAAACAAATGGGACATTTTTATGTCCACGCGGTTATAATTAAAAATTGATTAAAAGGTGTGAAGTGAAGAGTGAAACAATTCAACTCCAAATCGAATAATTAATTATTAAAAAATTATTGGATGAAATAACAAATCGTCAGAGTTTATTTAGTGACTATGAATGATTAATTCAATAACACATGGGAAAATGTGGAGTGAAGAGATGGGACGAATCATTGTTAAAAATTATCGATTAATGAAAAAAATATGCGAATGACAACGTAGAATATTGACAATTTGTTTATTATAACATAGAAAAATGGAACATTACGCATTAACTACAAGTGGAAATTCATGATTGAAAATCGATAAGATTGGAAAGTTAAATCGATTGTAGTAGTCAGTCTGGGTGTGAAAAATTGATCGACAATACGCGAAGTTATGTTCGATTAGATAAAAGCGAGCGATGCCCGTGGCCGAGATTCTTACGTAAGATTTCACAGGCCTTCTGGGTATACCCGAAAGATATCGATATATTGTAGTACGCATTAACCACTGAGAAATGCGTAACGAGGAGTTTCGGTTGAAATCAGTCGGAGAATCGAGACTCTGATAAATAGGTGGAACTGGAGTTTGGTTTTTCGGTCGGTTCTGTGTCATGATTGGGATCGATATGCTGGGCTGCGAGATGCTGACACTTGACAGCGGGATTTATCGTGGTCGCGGGGAGGTTTTGACACCACCGCAGAGCAGCCCCGAGTCACATCATAGTCATGTTAATTCGTTGAGGGGGAGGTGTTTGGAGCAGGAGATATCGCTGCCCCCGAATATTCCGGATATTTTACTTTGTGAGTCTTTGGGGGATGACGAGGGAGGGAGTTTAACTTTTTTTTACTCGTGGAATTGACAAAAATCTTTCAATTATCTCCCTTCAATTTTTTTTTTCGTTCAAAAAATATAACTTTGGTATTTACGATCGATTTATTTATTTATTGATATTTTGAGGAAAGAAGTGAGCGTTAGTGATCAATCAGAAATTAATTATTCAAATTATTTACATCTCCAATATGACGAAGAAATTCCCTACAGAAGAATGGTATCATTCTTAGAAATTTTCATTTACACCTAGCTTAATTATTTTGAAATTAACCGCCATTGGGTGTTTTTAATTAAGAAAATTTACGATGAACGGTCCTTTTCTTCTAAAAACAAGCAATTATACTATTTACGATCAATTTCTTTACTTGTCGATAATCGGAGAAAAGAGTCGATTGTGATTGATAATTGATGAGAAATTAATTATGTAAATTATTGATTTCTTAAATATAAAAAATGAATTTCCTAGTTTCCCGTAAGAATTTCTGAGTGTCAGGAGCAAAAAATTTTATTTATTCTATGAAACATTTCAAACCTATAGCATAGTTGTATCTAAAATAACTTACATTCTCGGTTATTTATAAGATTTTCTGAATACTTCAGTTCAAAACATCAAATTTTTTAAATTAAGAACATTTACGATAAACGATTTTTTAAAATTGAAATGATCTCTTCTCCAGACTATTTTGCGGTTTTAAGTTATAAAAACAATTTACTATTACTTGATGAGATGCAAAGGAATACGCCCTGATGGGGAGCGCATTTGGTGCTAAAAATGTTGCCGTTTGACATTTGATGTTGAATTGGATTTTTATTTTCATCCTATCAAGTAATAGAATTTTTTTTAATGGCTTGATGATTTCAATTTGAAAATAATTAGATGCGCTTAGAATAATAATTTCTTAATTTTTTCTCCGTTGACGAAAGACCATTTTATAATTTACGATCGATTTATTTATCGATAATTGGAGGAAAGAGGCGATCGCCAATGATTAATGAGAAATTAAGAAATTTACTATATTTTCCAGTAAAAAAAAATCGGTATTTCAAGAGCAAAAAATTTCATTCATTGTAAAAACATTTTCTAAAAAAATGTGACAAAAATTCTCCTATTCGCAGAAATTTTCTTTTAAAGCTAATATAATTGTACATAAATTAACCTACATTATCGGTTTTAAGGAGATTTTCTCGGTTCTTCAACTCAGAACGTCAGGTTGTTCAAATTAAGAACACATATATGTTTTTGAATTAATAATTTTTCCTCTTCAAAATTAATCTACTCATGTTTCAACTACTTTAACTAGATAACTATTTTGTTATTGGAAGGATATCACTTTACACTTTGACTCAATCAATGTTGAATTAATGTGCAATTAATCCTGATCTTCATCTCTTTCGAATGTCCTCTTAAGAATGCAAATGTTCTTCAATTAAGTACTCGCCTCCTCTTGTTCTTAAAACGTTAATGATACTTAATTTTAGGGACTTTTCTCCTGAAATTGAAAGAACAACCTTGAGCTTCCCTATCTCCCCTTCATTCGAACAGACCCATCAATGACTTATCACTATACTCAGAGGAGGTTAATTTGAAGTGAATAAACTTTACATGAATTAAATCAACGTGTTTATTCAGGTGGCGAAGAAAGCGAATTTATTAACACGAAATAATCTGTTATTCCGATCCAAAAATCATTCATTTACGTCTAATAGATGATTTATCCGGAATTAAGGAATTGTTCATCTCGTATAATTAAAACATTTCGAGTAAAATAGAGGAGAGTGGGGCATTACGACACTTTTGACATTTTTAAAATGTAATTCATCGAAATTTTGATGAAACGGTATTTTTTTTCCTCGTGAAGCACAATCCTTTCTTCTTTGTGATGAGTGCAGACTGAGCTCAATTGATGAATATTTTATTTGAGTTCTGGATATTTTTCAAGAAGTAAAAAATACCCGTTTTGCCCAACCCTCTCCTAAACAGAAAAGCTTCAAAAGATAAGAGTTATATTCAACTCAAATGTGTAATTTCTCTGGGTATAATTAAATTTCCCTTCAATTCTGAAAAATATATTCGAAGAAAAAAAATTCTCTCTCAGTTTTCAATTGCATAACTCCCGAAAAAATTCACCAATTAAATTTAATCACTAGAAAATCCTGCGAAAATCAGACAATTACTATCAAAAATTCTGAATCGAACAGAATAGAGGAGCTTCAAACATTAAAAGTTCTATTCAATTAAAATATGGTATTTCCCTGTAATCATATTTATAATTATATTTGTCCTCAAATTAATATTCAAATAAAAAAAATCCATCCCATTTCCCAAATGCATAATTCTCGAAAAAAATCACCAATTGAATTTAATCACCATAAAATCGAGAAGGAATTAGAAAATTATTATTAAAAATTCTTAAACGAACCGAATAAAAAAGATTTAAAAATCAAAAGTTCCATTCAATTGAAATACGTTATTTCTCTGTAATCAAATTTGTAATTAAATTTGTCCTCAAATTGATATTCAAATCAAAAACATTCCCTCTCAGTTCCCACTTCCATAACTCAATAAAAAAATCCCCCACTTGAATTTAATCACCTTAAAAATCACCATAAAAACTCCAGAAATTCTTTCCCCAATCATTAAAAAATCGTCAACTACTTGTCTATCGCTAATTGCCATCTCCCCTTTAATTGTTCCAGCATCAATACCAAAATGCGGTGGTTGCCAAGAAGCCATCCTAGACAGGTACGTCCTGCGCGTCCTCGAGAGGTGTTGGCATGCCCGTTGTCTGACATGTCGTGACTGCGGTGCAAGACTAACCGACAAGTGTTTCGCCCGAAATGGCCACGTCTTCTGCAAGGATGACTTCTTCAAGTAAGCATCAATTTTTGATATCCCAACTCCAGTCAAACAGAAAGACCAAAACCTCCAGAACTATTGATTGCGACAGAACCTCTTGCCGTGTCTATTCCTCATTCTCCTCCGAGGGGCTTGAGCGCCATTTTTCTTCAGTAAGAAAAGTTTTCTCGTCGTTTGTCACCCCCTCTCTCCCACCCACACCCAACGGCAAATTCGATCCACCCGGGCAATCAATTACTCCAACGCCCTCCGAAGATTTTCCTCTCCGGGTGTTTTGATTTTGCCGGGATATTTATCGTCTGGATTTTAATGTGTGAATGTAATGTCAAATGTTGTGTGTTGTTGGTGTGGCAGGCGGTTCGGGACAAAGTGCGCTGGCTGCGGCCAAGGACTGGCGCCATCCCAGGTTGTCAGGAGGGCTCAGGAGCTTGTCTATCATCTCACCTGTTTCTCCTGCGCCCTTTGCTCCAGACAACTCGACACTGGGGATGAGTTTTATCTGATGGAGGACAGGAAACTCGTGTGCAAACCCGATTACGAGCAGGCGAAAGCTAAAGGTAATTTATCTGTGAGTTTAATTCTCGGAGAGGGGTCTGAAATAGTAGATTGTGCACAAGGGAGGAAAGTCATGTTTTCCTCGCTCGAGGTGCGTGTGCTATTTTTCGCCCCGGCGAGCGCAAAGTACATATTTCCCTCCCTCCCTCCATCACTGAGAGAAAAATAGGGTGAATCGTCCAGTGTTCGAACGAATAAGGTCACAGTTATTTTTGACGTAGATTTCAAAATATAACCAAGTCGAAAATTGATTTTAAAATAATTATAACTCCCCTGTACATCTCCATAGATAATAGAAAAAAATATTATGGATATTAATTGACGATACAATTAATGATATGAATACAAAAAGCTGAAAATCTGTGAAAACCCAGTAATCGAAATGCGTATTCGATAATGGGAATATGCTATTGACGGCGTGTCATCGAAAACTGTTTTTTCCGCTGGTAATTAGATAACTTAGACATTTTCAATCATCACAATATCATTTGGAAATGTCATAATTTTATTTTTCATGTATAATACGAGGCATCTCTACCTTCTACTAATTTATTTTATAGAAAAAGTACCAATTAGTTCAATTAATCGAAAATTCCGAAATTAATTCCCCGGAATTTTCCTATCTTTTGTTCATTTTCTCTGAAGAATTGAACCGAAATTTACAATTTCTATTGATTTTCTCATTAAATTGTGATTTTTCAATGCCAAAATCCCCGAAAATTTCACTGAGAATGCCTCTGATTAAAAATTTCTCAAAAATATTGTAATGATTACCCAAAATATCGCCCATTGCATTCAAGTGTAAAATACTAATACCTGAAGATATTAAACGAAAACCCTAAAGCTGCTTCAACTCCTTCCTTTATTGAGTCAGTGAATTCGAGATAATTTCTTGCTTGGAGGGAGGAGAATCGATATATGGGTGGATTAATAGAGTTTCTTTTATTACAGAACTGGCTGATGGGGGCAGTATCGATGGCGATCAGCCGAACAAGAGGCCGAGGACAACGATAACTGCGAAGCAGCTGGAGACACTCAAACTTGCTTATAATAACAGTCCCAAGCCTGCTAGGCACGTAAGGGAACAATTATCGCAGGATACCGGGTTGGATATGCGTGTTGTTCAAGTTTGGTTTCAAAATAGGTAAGAACATCACGAAATCAGTAAAAGTTGAACTAAATCTGTAGTTCTTAATAGCTTATTTGACTTTGAAAAAATATTTATGATGAGTCCATCCGGGGAAAAGCGCATTTGAATCACAGATATAAAACGCTTGAATTGAAATTTTTTCTATTCATTGCAACAATATTTTTCACAAATTTATGCATTAATACATTGTACAATTGCATTAATACAAATGCAAATGTATTAATTTAAGCATTAATACATTGTACTTTTCCTTTGCAACAAAAATTAAGCAATTTTTTATTCTAAATGAAAGCATTGTATTCGTCAAATTCGAAATTTCCAATTTTTTGTGTCAAGATAACTAATTTTGGCCTCAACAGTACGTATGTGTGTGTATCGTATAATTAATAGGAAAATTTCAAATAAAGAGTTTAATTTGGTTAATTTCTTTAGAGTTTAAGCTTTAAGTGTCTTGAGTTTATGAACGCATCAAGCGCCAATCGCGAATTTCAAGCGGTTATTTTAGAGATAGTTCCTATGTTCATAGGATCATTTTCCATTCACATGGTAACCATTTCTGTGGACATGGCAGGCATTCCTATGTTACATAACAACCGTTACCATGGGACATAGTAAGCATTACTATGGAACATAGTAAGGATTACTATGGAGCACAGTAAGCATTATAATGAGAAATAGTAAGTAATGCTATGTTCCATAGTAGTAATCCTTAGTACTATGGAACAGTAAGCATTACTATGCATTACTATGCTTACTATGGAACATAATAGTAAGCATAAATACATAGTGCATAGTGCTTACTATTATAATAGTAAACATATACACATAGTGCTTACTATTATAATAGTAAACATACACACATAGTGCTTACTATTATGTTTCATAGTAAGCATAGTAATGCTTACTATGCCGGAGGTCTCGGAGGTAAGCATTGCAGTACTATGCATTACTATGCATAGTAAGCATTGCTATGTTCCATAGTAATTCTTAGTACTATGTTCACATAGTAAGCATAGTAATGCTTACTATGCCGGAGGTCTCGGAGGTAAGCATTACTATGCATAGTAAGCATTGCTATGTTCCATAGTAATTCTTAGTACTATGTTCACGTAGTAAGCATAGTAATGCTTACTATGCCGGAGGTCTCGGAGGTAAGCATTACTATGCTTACTATGTGAACATAGTACTAATCATTACTATGGAACATAGCAATGTTACTATGCATAGTAATGCTTGGTAATGCATGGTAATGCTTACTATGCTTACTGTTATGTTCCATAGTCAGCATATTACTATGCTTACTATGTTCCATCGAACATAATAAGCATTACTATGGACCATAATGAGCATTGCTATAGAACATAGTAAGCATTACCATGTGACATGGTAAGCATGGTTACCGTGGGAAATAGTAAGGATTACTCTGTAGAAACATTTGAAACCCCTTTTACTATGTTACTATAGTAATCTCTCCTATGCCCATAGTAATGTTTACTATTTAATTCTCTCCGACAAATACAATGCTTCTATTCGGAAGCAGCATACTGACAATACTGTGACGAAAGCAATTTCCCACTTGTTTGTTGATATGTGCAGGAGGGCGAAAGAGAAGAGACTGAAAAAAGATGCAGGAAGAACGAGATGGTCTCAATACTTCCGCAGTATGAAGGGCAACGGTGCCGGTGGTCACTCCCCAAGGCATGACAAACTTCTCGACAAAGACGAGCTCAAGGTCGATCTTGACTCGTCCTTCGGTCATCACGGTGAGTGAATTCAAATGAAAATGGAGGAATAAGGAGAATATGAATGAAAAAATTTTGACGATGTATTTCGATGGTATCCCCCCCGGGGCTAGACGACGCGAAATTCAAGGTACACAATGGGCGCGCTCGTGGCACAGACGAAGGGAAGGCAAGGTTTTTGGCTCTCTTCAAATATTCAGGAGATTGCTCGGCTAACTGCCAGCCAACCGTAGTCCGAGATTTCACGAAGATTGCAAGGGTGGAGGGAGACCGGGAAAAGCGGAGTACAGGGCGACGCCTCGGGGCTTTTTATCGCTCTATCTTGTAGTTTATTAGACTACTTTTTTTCGTAGTGGAATTAATCAAATTTTGAGTCTTCGTATAATATTCTCGGAGGTCTCGGGGATTTAATTGGAAAATAAATATTGTGGGAGTGATTTTGGTTCTTGTTCATTTTTTAGAGTGCAAGTGAATTAAATTGCGTCATTTTTTTGTTTATGAAATTGAGGCGCGGATGGATTATCCTTCGGACGTTATCTCGATCGTTTTTCCATCTTTATAATCTAAAATATATCACGATTTCTAGTGGATTTTACGTCACGCAGGAGTCCCTTAAAAGTATGATTGTTTGACTTTTGATGACTTTTGTTTTCCTTATGAAGTTAATCAGATTTTGAGTCTTTGCATAATATTCTCGGAGGTCTTGGGAATTTTATTGGAAATTAAATATTCTGGGTGTGATTTTAGTTCTTGTTCATTTTTTTAAGTGCGAGTGAATTAAATTGCGTCATTTTTTTGTTTATGAAATTAAAGCGCGGATGGATTATCCTTTGGACGTTATCTCGATCGTTTTTCCTCCACCTCCACGTTCTTTATTCTGACCCTCATGACCCTTATTCTGACCCTTGTAATTCTTAATTTTGGAGTCTTAATCTCGAGTACCAAATTTTTCATCACCAGAAATTGATTTGGATTTTTATAATATAGAAAAATTCATTAAAATTTCACATTCTACATTAAATCCTGAAGTATTCATCGAAAACTCGTGACAGCAAAAAATTTTCCAACACTAAATTACTGAAAATTGCCCCACCTCTCCCCCGAAAAATTTCCATTATCACATCCACATAAAACTACTAATTATCCTCCACCATATGACAGTCTCGTCGCTGTATGCCATCCTACGCCCTTTATTTCATTATCTCGTAATTCAGATCTTGAAAACAGACACGGGTGAATCCCCCCTCGACAGATAACAGTATTTTTTTTTCGGGGAAGGGGTCGTTATCAGTGTTAGAAATCGGAACAGATGATACGCCTATGAGTGGCTTCTGTTGACTTTCCATTCTAATTCTCCATTTATTTGAGTATCGACGATGACCAAGCGCGATCCATTAATGATCATTGATGATGAAAAATCTCTTCCTCTTTGCAGATTTGAGTAATGACAGTTATGGCACTGTTGTTAATATGGGGCTGGAGGGGGAGGGATCGAGTCCAGGTGGCGGTGGCAGCGGAAATGGGGGTGCCGGTCCACCCAGGGGATATCTGGGCGCCACTACACCACCTTATTTGTCGACGTCCAGATCACCGTCCTTACCACCGCAATTTCCTTATCCTTCGGATGCTGGTCTATCTGTTTATACTACTATTGGTGAGTTTATTGATTCGTATTAATTACACAGAGAGAAAAGTGCATTTGCAGGGACCTATATCGGTGGAGAGAATTTTTCCCTCAACGGGGAATTCTAATGAAGACGCAGATCCCACTGCAACAACTCCGGTCTTACGAGCGGTCCGAAACTAAGATCTGAGGCCGTAAGACCGGTAAACGGTCTTAAGGATTGACGTAAGCATCTTTTTTACAAGAGTAAATTTTTTTATGGTCAAATGCCATGAAACTTTGGCAAAACGTTATTTGAACTATTATAAAATGATCGATCTATCGCTCAGCTCTTCGTCATATTGTCAATATCGATTTTCTTGTTTTTTTTTGTTTTAGTTGATATCGACAAAATGACAAAGAGCTAAGCGATAGATCGATCATCTTGTAATGGTTCAAATAACGTTTTGCCAAAGTTTCATGGCTTTTGACCATAAAAAAATTTACTCTTGTGAACAACTCCCGCCAAAATTGCTTACGTCAATCCTTACAATCAAACCAATTTCCGATCTTAAAGTAGCTCTACCCTTCGGCCGGGCTACGCTGTACTTTTGGATATTTTCAGTTTTTAAATTTTTCAACCAAATTGCATGGAAAAAATTTGAAAAAATTCATACCCAGTCAGTATTATCTGAATTAAATTTCGCAAAATATTTATATTTTTTCAAACATTTCCCTCTTATAAATAAATAATAAAACTTGTTTAAAACGGTGGATTATTTGTTATGAGAAAAAAATTCTTGATTTTTTCACATCTAATGAAAAAAAAATCAGATTTTAATCTTTGATTACAATGGAAATGTTGATTTTCACATAAGACACTGGGTTAAATCCTGATTTTTAAACATTTCTTCTTTGAAAAACCGAAACGATAATTAAATTGAGAAAAAAATCAGAATTCCGAATCTTATCGAGTTTTCTGCAATTTTTTGCAGTTTTCAATAATCTTTGAATTTACCGTAAGGGTAGAGCTACTTTAACATACGATCCTACACATTTCAAGATCGCTCATGAGTCTGACCATAGGAATAAGATCCCTTTCCGATCTTGAATTTTAAAATCGCAACTTTAAGATCGGAAACGGGTCTGATTTTAAGATCTCCAGGTTTAAGGCCCGGGTGTACTATCTTTCGAACGTTATTTCGTTGTTTTTTTTCATCTTTCGTCATCTGAAATAGACAATTAAGTCCTGCATCATGCAGAAGTTTTGAAAAATTATGAATAAATAATTTTAAAAAGTAGAAAAAACTCTTAATTTTTTCAAAGAACATTTTTAATTTATATTATATTTATTATAATATATTTTATTTATTATATTTATTTTATTTTATATAATTTATATTCAGAATAAGTTGAATAACAAGAAATTGAAAAATGTAACTGATTTACGGCGGCCTGTCACCCAATATCATGCAGGGGGAATTCTTACACTTCAAAATTTATTTTAATATTTTTGGAAGAATGCGCGCAGTCTCATGAGTATTTTACCCCGGAGCTAGTCACACTAATTGAATGTTTCATTTGATTTCAGGTGGTCCAGGTGGAATGGTACCAGGACCAGCATCAGACCTAAGTAACGAATCAAGTGGTGGAGGTGGTGGCGGTGGCGGAGGCGGGGGCTACCCCGATTTCCCACCATCTCCAGACTCATGGCTTGGTGAACCTCCCCAGCATCCTCATCACCATCCCCACTACTCCACATAACCCCCCAAAAAATGCAAATTCATAGAATCACCGAGTATCGTCTAGACGAACGACCGGACGATGAGCGAGGCAAAATGGACTTTTAACTCATTTTGAAGCTTTCAAAAATCTTTCCAAAATGATTTGAAACTGCGAGAGTCCGCTTGATACTATCCATTTTGCCCTTCTCTCGTCTAGGGTCTCAATTGGAGAGAAAATCACTAAATTGGAAGATTCTTCCCTCGATAATTGAACTGCGCACGAAGAATTTTATAAAAAAACCGAACGAATGCAATAGAAAATTCTTTTAAAAATTCTATTAATTTCTGACCAATTCTAGAAAACGTCCGAAAGAAACGATTTTATAGAAAAATCATTAGAATTTCGTTTTTGTATACAACTTTTTCTATTGACACAGTTTCTGCAGGAATTCTTCGATATCAATTTTCCAAATTTTTTCTACTTATTCTTCTCCTCTTTTCATTTGGGAAAGCAAACAATAACACTTGGAAATTTGAGCCGAGGAATTTCTATCGAAAATATCTCCGTAGTGAGTTGTATAGAAAAATGGAATGCTTTCGATTTTTTCGATAGAATATTTTACTGGACACATTTCGATTCAACTAGGGAATTCGAAAGGTTTTTCTGTGAAATTTCCTTACGTGCCTGCTCTCAGACGATACTCGCGACCGTCCCTAGACAAAAAAATTAAGATCCTTTCACCAAAAACGGCTCTATTACTTATAAATTATACCACGTAACATTCGCATCGATATTATTAATAATAGATATATATATTTATGTACAAGTTCCTCGTTTTCCCGTTACAGTTTAGGGTAAAATGAATGCAGAAATACATTGATTCGTTTAGTTGATAGTTCTGGGAATGGGAATATTTGCAAATGGAATTTATTCGCATTTATTCGTGTCAGTTTTCTTTTGAAATTGAATGAGAATTATTTTTTTTGAGACAGTTCAGGAATAAATGGGATGAAACTACTTGTCAATCTGATAATTTCTGCACATGAGGAATTTTGTTGTTTGGTGGATTGAGGAAATAGTAGAAAATTCCTGTCGTCAAATTTTCAAACGTTTTTCATTTTATTTCATTTTTTATCCCTTCATTCATCATCACTGTAATTATTTTGTTACTTTGGACGAATATTCGTCGATATCTTCGAAATTTTCTTGTTCATTTCATTTCTAAAAAAAATGAAACCAAATTTTAATTTTTAATTTCATTTGATTTGAAAATTTGAGAGAAACCCGACATTTTTTCATAATAATTTTCAATTCAGCTTTCGTTTTCTCCTATCGCGAGAGGTCTTAGAAGATAAAAAATTTCTATTTTTTTCAAATTGAAAAAATTTATCAATTTTTTAAAACTTTTTTACAGAGTAAATAAAAAATCCATAAAAAGGTCTTTATAAAAATCTCGAATAATTCATCAAAAACTCAATTTTGTTTCAACACTATAGAATATTTCCATCCATTCACTTCGAATGTTTGAATGTCTCCATCAAACGTAAAAAATAAAATCGAAGTGATTTCCTCGGTCTATTCAACCAATGGAGTCGTCATCCACAAAGCTTGTGTGAGACAAATAGAATTTTTCAAAAGGTGTCATATTGTACATAGTTGAAATAAGGAATTTCGATGATAAGGAAAATTCTATTGTACATCAGTATCGTCGCGTATCGCGATAACTTAATGTCAGGTGCAGAGAAACGTGAATTTGTCCGTTATTGTTTTCACTCGAAGACAAGAGAATATGTTAAATCCAGGAAAAGAACTTTATTCTCCTTCAGAGATACAAGAAATCCGCAGTTGGATGTGGAGGGCGCATTGGTTGTTATCGAGATAAATTTCTTGGCGTCCGAGTCTGTAATTTCTAGAGGAACAAATCTAGAAAATCCACATTGGACGTAAAACATTTCGGTGAGCACATGGAGGGAGAAATCTGTGGAAAATTTTTGACAACACTCCAGTGGAAATTACAATATTTTTGTGAATTTTTCATTTTGTGAAATTTTCGCATTTCTTTTATTTATTTGCATTTTTTTTTTAAATGAATTTTTGCATTCCAAGAACAAAATCTAAGAAGTTTTATTGACTCTCTACTGAATTTCTATTAGACATTCCATCTAAAACAATATGTTTTCACAATTCAATACAATTCATTGTACTGAAATAATTTCTGTAAAGATTTCTTAAATTTTCCAAATTTGTATGCTTAAATTTCTTAATGAGAAAAAAAAATTTTTTAAATTGAGAAAATCTATTCGATGAAATTTCTACTGTAAATATCTCAGTAGAATAAATTACGTGCAAAGATCAGGATCTATCGATTGTTTCTAACAAAAATATTCATCAAAACTCTAGTAGAAATTATAATATTTTTGTCAATTTTTCACCTGAAATATTCTAATTTTCATTGCATTTCAAGAAAAAAAATATGGGAAGTTCTACTGGCTCCATTGGATTTCTATTATATATTCTAATAGAACAAAAGATTTTTATAATTCAATGTAATTCATTCGAGATAATTTCAGTAAAGATTTCTTAAATTTTCCAAATTTTGTTGCTTGAATTTTTTAATCATAAAAACAAACATTCAAAAAAATTTAGAGATTCTCTTCAGTGAAATTTCTACTGGAAATATCTCAGTAGAATAAATTATATGGAAAAATGAGCATCTATCGATTTTTGTGTACATCTGCATTTTTTGCAAAAATAGTAATTCAAGTGCAATTTTCAACATTTCTCTCTCCATGAAAAAATTGTATAAAATACCTATGCTTGTTTTCCGATAAAGTCAAGTCAACTAAAATCGACTCTTGAAATTGTAACTAATTTAGTGAATACTTTATTTATAACGAAAACTCATTTGAAATGCGTGCAATGTAAAAAGGATTTGAACCAGATAGTCTCGAATTAAGTCACTGTACATTCCTCGTTTGACGTTTATAATTTTTAATGTGCGAATTGAATCACTATTCGTAGAATACAAGTCGAAACAACACAAAGTAGTCCGACAAGAGTGAAGATATGAAGTAATAGAGTACATAATGAGAAGATATGTATAAAGTGATAAAGAATTATTAATTCAATGGACAAAACCACCTGGACGTGATTTCATCGTGTTCGCAAGTTAACCAAAATCAGTTATTACGAATCTTTATATTATTATCTAGTCAGCAAGTGATAATAAAATTTATCATAATCTAAGGATCATTGGAATTTATTGCTCTCCCTTCCCCGCATTCCTTTCAAATTTCATAAACAATTCCGAGAAATATCTTTCAACTACCTGTTGATACGAAATTTCGATACAATTCCATCACTACAATTCCATCACTAACATTACTTTAATGGCCATTTTTTCTCCGAGATTTTTCATCGAATTATTTCATATCAAAGATAAGTACCAATTAGTAGAATTCAGTCGATCGGCTCACAAGTGAACCGCAAAAAACCGTAGAATACGAATATAGAAAATAAGAGTAGGACGAAAAAAACGTAATATCGTTGAAAGAGTAACGGTAATACCCAGTGGTAAATTCGGAGAGAAAGATCAATTTTCTTGATCAATTGTTCTCCCAGCGATTTCAAAAAGAAATCACATCTGTTCATTCCACGTCACCAGTTGATCATGCCGAAGATCATATCGCATCCATTTAAAAAAGTAAGATGGTAAGAGAAAGGGAAAAAATAGGAATTAGACTCAAGAGAAATAAAACAAATTTTCAAAAGGCAAAACTTTAATGGCACTTTACTCGCATGTTTATTTACAGATGTTGAACCATGAGTACATATCTTATATACACGTACATAATCACCCATAAATTTATCATCCATATCGTCTGAAAAAAATCATTTTCAAAATCTACATACAAAAAGAAAAGCCTAAAGTATAATTTTCGCATTCCACTTGAATTATTTACAATTTCCAATATACACTTGAATTTAGAATGATCGTGGAAGAATCGTGATTTCGATATTTCCTTATCAATTACGTTTAAACAATCTCCTCACACCTTCAATTTGTTTTTACTCATTTGTTCTTTTGTTAAAAAATGCCCCTGTATCTTAATATACGAAAAAATTATGTTAATGGCCATTTTTTCTCCGAGATTTTTCATCGAATTATTTCATATCAAAGATAAGTACCAATTAGTAGAATTCAGTCGATCGGCTCACAAGTGAACCGCAAAAAACCGTAGAATACGAATATAGAAAATAAGAGTAGGACGAAAAAAACGTAATATCGTTGAAAGAGTAACGGTAATACCCAGTGGTAAATTCGGAGAGAAAGATCAATTTCCTTGATCAATTGTTCTCCCACCGTTTTCAAAAACAAATAACATTTGTTTATCCCACGTCATCAGTTGTCGAAAGGCTCTTCGTAGGTTCTCGTTTTCTGGAGAATGCTCTTTGTGATCATGAGTTGTTTGGTGATCGCCTTCTCAACGTTTTTCTTATTCTTGTTGGACGCTGACAGGTGCTTGAATGTGTCCTCCAGAGCTCTCTTCGTCTTCATCAATCGTCGCTTCAACGCTTCGTTTTCCTGCTTCAAGGCATCCACTTCGTCTAGACCTAGAAACAATTTTTTTTGTTATTTCTGTTTTTATTATTACGTTCAAGTCTTTTTTGAATCATTTAGTTTCGAATGTAACAGTTCAAGTCGCACAGTAAATCTTTGTTGATTATCCATTCATCAAAATAATGAGATTATTGAACAATTTTAACGTGAACTGTTGTGTCATTTTAGTACTTAATTTAGAGAATTAGGGCATAGAGACATGGGTTTTATTCTGGTTACTTTGCTAAGCACTTGCTCAGTACGTTAAATATTTTCGAGGGGGCCATTATTTTACTTTCATTAATTACAAAAAATTCGTAGGAAAGTGGTAAAAAACAGATGGGACGAAAAAAATAATGACAAGTGGGAAATTGCTATTGTATTGCATATAGTACAGTAATTTTTACTAATTAATTAGCGATATGCTTCCGAATGGTTATTTTGCACATAATTTCCTTTTATCATGAGTAATTCATTGTTTATTTAATTTTATTAAATTGAATATGATTTCTTTATAACTAATTTTGTCAGATTTTCAAGTTAGTTGAATGTTATCATCATCATTATTCTTATTATCCCTTTCTTCTATACAACCGATTGTCTTTTTGACAGTTCTATCTCTCCCCTCAGCCCTTCGATAAAATGTTAATAGAAAAATTTCTTTTACAAATGCTTGAATGAATTTGAAACATCACATTTGAAGAAACCGTCAAAAAGCTCACTTTCAGGGAAATTCATGAAAAATTTTAAATTTTCAACAATCATCATAAAAATTAAATCAACTAATATAGCTATCGTTCATTTTTTAACTTCGACTTAATGGCATTAAAACAAACATTTTAAGTTATGATTGAATTCACTTGAAGCATGATATTCAAAGATATCCCCGGAATTCTGATTTTCAAAAAATACAAAATTTTCGCAAATTTTCAAATAAATCAAAATAACGATTATTGCTATCGCCTTCATCTTCGAACTCGGTCACAAGGACATCCAAACAAATTTTTTAAGCCATCATTCAATCAATTCAGAACCTTTTTTTTTAGTTTGCGTGGGACAAGCGAATTTCGAAAAAATTAAAGAATTTAAAAAAATACACGATGAATTAAATTTTAATTAGTGGCGATCGATAGGGCTGAACAATTCCCTCCATTCATTAGCGAACAATTGAAGAAAAACTTTGTTACATACGTACACACCAAAAAATCCAAAACTGAAATTTAAACGATTACAAAGCGTCCATCCGGAAGCGAAAAATAGTCAATTCTCGAATGACAAAATTTACTCTAGACTTGTCTTTCCTCTTTTTTACCACTTAACTACTAAAATTACTTCGAATGAACATGATGAATTATTTTCAATGGCAATGATTGTCTTTAAAAAATGATGAATCGAATGGGTCAATGCACATTAATGAATAAATGCATATCGATGTGTTCTCAATGATAATGAAAGACGAATTTTGATTGTGATGTGTTGCATTAATCGAATGAATTGCATTCTTATGACAATCGAGTACCAAAAAGCGAATAAAACTCAACTGTTTGAGATACATACTATAATTATGGCCACCTATAAATAATAAACAAAGTAGATTAATCAAAAAATCATTCACAGTTGACTTTGAATGTTGACAATAATCAAGTGAGAGAGAAGAAGAATTACCTTCAAGGTGTAGCGGGCTCTCCCTGTCTAGATCCCGCAGTCCTCGATTGTTGCAGTTCTCGTCATCGCTCAGTAGATTTGTCATGGACTCAGTAATTTTTAAGGTATCTTTGAGGGGTCTCGTTGTTGACACTGCTGCATCACTCTCGATACCGAGGTCTGGAGAACAACTGGATTTACTGCGACCAGTTGATGGTGGGTAATTCAATGGATGCCAATACTGAGAGCCCTGAGGACAATAAATGAGAATTTCAACTTAAAGAAAAAGTGGGAAATTGCTTTTATATTAATATAGTATAGTTTTTTTGTTAATAAATTAGAAATATACTTCCGAACGGTCATTTTGAACGTCATCTGCTTCTATAGTATATAATTCAACGTTTCATTTAATTTGATTAAATTCAATGAAATTTCTTCTTTAATCAATTGTGTTATATTTTTAATTTAGTTTAATAGCTGATAAAATTTCAAATATGAAGTAATATATATCTATGCCACGCATCTATCACTGAATGAATTTAGAGCATGATATCCAAAGATATCCTCGGAATTGTAATTTTTATAATATAAATTTTTTGAAAATTATTCTAAAAATCAAAACAACAATTACAGATTCACAACATTTTTTTAGTTATGGTGGGAACATTGATATAAAAAATCAAAAGTTGAAAAACATAATATATGGATTAAATTTTAATTGATGTCGATGGATGGAGCTCAACAATACCTTCATTCGAAAACAAATGGTTCGATTCCATCAATTTATTTGCAAATAGTTGAAAAAAAAGTTTTTAAACATCTAGAAAGGGCATATTCGTACTTTTTGGATTATAATAGGCCGATATACCGCAAAAAATCCGAAACTTAAATTTGAACGATTGCAATGCTTCCATTCTGAAGCAACAAAAATGCATCAAATGTTCCACAAACAGAACAAATCCAGAACACGAAGATCAAGAACGCCCGCCCCGGACCGACATTGGATCGTCTTTTTGTTCGACTGTTCTGGATGTTCCAGAACATTCTTATTGATGAAATAGTTTAGTTTTTCATGAATATCTGATAGTTTAAGACAGCCATCAAAATTTTTACAGATATCTTCTCACTTCAGTCGTTAATTCAAAGACAATTAACAAAAAATCATTCAAAAATTGACGACTCACGATAACTCATCCTTCTATTTCCTCATCCCTCAATTTCCCCTGCATTTCCTATAAAAAATCGCGAAACCCCTGACAGAAGCCTAAAAAAATGATAAACTCACATTAAAATGGAATTCCTGCATCAAATCATCGCACGTCTGCTTGAGTCCCCCATCAGCAGGAATAGAAGAGATCCCGCTAGAGCTCGGAGCAGAATCACTGGTCTCACAAACCACCACCTGCCTCCTCAGCTCCTTATTAGCAGCCTCCAGCTCCTGCATCCGGCCCCTCTGCGAGTCGTTGATCATGTTCAAATCCGCCACCTCCTTCTCAAACTTCTCCTTCAGAGACTTGAAGCTGGCATCGAACCTGGCCTCGGCCTTCCTGATCTCCTGCTCCAGCCTGAGCTTGTCATTCGTCAGCTTCGTGTTTTCCACCAGCACTTGGCTCTGCGAAAGTGTCAGCCTATCCAGCTCCTTCGTCAGCATGGAGACACTGGCCCTGGCCCCCTCGTTGTCCTCCTCCAGCTTCTTAACCCTCAACCGCAGTCCCTCATTCTCAATATTCAGCCCCATCACCACCTCCGCAGTCTTCCTCTCGTTATTCTCCTTGTACTGCATCAGCTCTGACTTCTGCTTAGCAATCTCCATCGCCATGTTCTCGACATCAACAATCTTCTTCTCCAACTGCGCCTTCCTCACACTATTCTGCTTGCTCTCCTTCTTAATCAAACTCTCCTGCATCTTCCTGTCGAAGGAGCCCTGCAGCTTGTCGCAGAAGCTCTGGGACTTCTCGATCTTCAGAATGATGGGCTTGAGCTTCTCATCGACGTCACTCATGGGAGACCTCCTCAGCAAGTCGTTCCTGAGGTCCATCAGCTCAGCATACACCGAATTATTCGTCTCCTTGAGCTCCTGGAGATGATGGGACGAGTCAATCTCATTGAGATCACTCTGATACGTCTTGTGATAGGGAACGTAGTCCACCGAGTCCTCAGAGTCACTGAAGTTCTTCGAGTACTTGGTGTACCTCGACCTCGAGGACTTCTCGGGCATCTCCTGGAGACCGATTCTCGCCAGGGAGACACTTCTGTCGGGCTCTGAGAAGGCCTCCGAGTCTGACTTCTCGTCCATCAGGTTCGATCTGCTGCGTTTCAAGTCCCTGCACGTGCAGAGGTCCTCCAGGGTGAGCTCCCTCTTCGAGAAGGTGTTTACACCCTCCAGGGCTTGGACGAAGTCCTCAGAGAGGATTCTAGAGCCCACCAGAACGTCCAGGACCATTCGCTTGTACTCGTCGTTGATGGAGTAGTTGGAGCTCTTCAGCATCTCCTTCATGAACTTCACCAGGGACTTCAGGTGCCCGCGCAGGAGTTCACAGTATTCTCGGGATTTTTCTGACTCGAAGCCGTTGGAGTCCTCGCTGTCAATGTCCGTTTTGGAGATTAATTTCAGCCATTTCAGGTACTCCACTTCCTTCTCGAGGTCGTTCTTCTGGAGGAGAAGCTTCTGGACGTTGTCGGTCAGGGTTTTTAGGTTCGGGAGGGACTGGTTCGAGTAGTTCAAGTGGACGAGGTCCTCTGTGAACTTCACCTCGATCCCAATGTCGTTCAGCTCCTTTAGGAGGAGCTCCAGGTGGGGGTTCACGAGGTCCTGGTGGGACTCTGATTTGTTTCGACTTCGATCGTGCGACTGGTTCGTCATGTGGTTGTGCAGCTTCGCTATCTCTTTGTTCTTAGACCACAGCTCGGTGTTCACCAGCTTCTGGAGGTTCTGGGTCTTTATCTGGAGGTCTTTCGACAACTGCTCGATCTTTTGGTTCTTCTCCTCGATCTCCCGGGTCTTCGAGAGCAGCTGTTGCTCGAGCTCGGGGGGAGGCACTGGGGCACTCGACGTCATGAGCTTGAGCTCGTTCTCTTTGCCCGCCAGCTCACGTTTTATCTCGTCACGCTCCAGTTCTAGGTAGTCTATTCTTCGTTGTTTATCGGCTATTTGGTCGTGCAGCTCCTGGAAGGATTTGTTGATTAGTGGTGGATGCGGCTCGATGGCTTCGTGCGTTTGTGGGCGAGGTGATTGGGAGGAGTGAACGGGTATTTTTAGATTGGGGGCCTGCGATTGCGGAGGTTCTCGGGTTTTAAGTGGTATGTGCCAATGGGTCTGACGTTTTTGTCATTAAGTTATCTGGGGCAGGGGGAATTTAGGGAAATCAGGATGAACTTTTTCGGGAAAATTTTGTTAAGAATATCCAAGGGTCTTTTACAGCTTGGTGCAGGTCACAGCATAGATTCAAGAATTTTCAATCATCAAATTTGTCAATTAAATTGCGTGAGAAAAATTTGAAAACAATCATGATTATTCAGCGTCATTCCAATTACAATTTGCACAGAATTATTATTTTTTTAATATTCACTGTTTATAAATAAATAATTGAAATTATTTAAGTTTTTAGAAACCTTAGTTTTGTAGGGATGAACCCGATTTCTGATATAATTCTGAGTATGAATAAATTTGTTAGGATTCTGGACCAATGATTTTTAGGGTGGGAAATTGATTGTGTTTACATTATTTATAGAAAATGCTCGTAATTGTTAAAAATTGTAATTTTTTAACTATTTCATCAATCTTTCTCCAAAAGTAAACTTTCTATTTTTTTTTAAGATTTTTTGGAAATAGTTGATATCCTTAACTACAAAAAAGATCTGTTCAAAGAACAATTCTTTCCCTTTGTGAAGAGCCCAAACTGAGCTCAATTGATAAATTTGTTTCTGAGTTATGAACAATTTTAAAAAAGTCTAGTGTCCATTTTACCCCACCCTCCCCTAGTAACTCATTCTCAATGGCGTTATGAGGGTCACAGTAAGGGTCAGAATCAGGGGCGACTCCTGCATTTCTAAAGCTCCGTATTTTTTTATTTATTATGTAGAAGACACTCTTTGGAAATATTCAGTTTTTTCTCTACTTTTTTTGATTCTACAATCATAATTTTACAGATATCTGCGCAATGTAAAACTTAATGAAAATAGTGATATATTTTAGATTCTGAAAATGGGTTCGAAGTTTAAAACCCGGCCGGGTAGAATGGTGACATGACCATTTAAGGCGCGGGTGTACTATCTTGCGAGTGTTAATCTCGATGTTTTTTTTTCATCTTTTGTCATCTGAAATTGTCAATTAAGTCCTGCATCATGCAGAAGTTTTGAAAAATTATGAATGAATAAGCAAAAAAAGTAGAAAAAATTCTCAAATTTTTCAAAGAACATTTTTAATTTATATTTAGAATAAGTTGAATAACAAGAAATTGAAAAATGTATCTGATTTACGCTGAGAAATGGCGGCCTGTCACCCAATATCATGCAGGGGGAAGACTGATTTCGTAAATCTTTTCCCACACTGCACAGAGACATTTATTACGGAAAAGGCTCTTTGAAAAAAGTTGTAATATTTTGGAGAATTTTTTAATCACACTTTTATCACATAAAAATGGCAGATGACTACATATCACTGTTTTTAAAATTTAGATACCTAGCTGTCATTTCCCATGAGGAGTTAGTGTTTTGTTATCCACCATGGAAAATGACAGCTAATAGATAATTTGCCACGGCGAATCAGATATTTGTAATTTCCACTTTTTTCAACCCATTCTAAATCTCAATTAAAAACGCTCTTTGAAAAAGTTCAGAATGTTTTCTATTTTTTTTTATCATTCTACCATAATTTTTGGGAATTTCTACATGATGTACCACTCAGTTGACAGTTTTGGATTACGAAAGATAAAAAAAATCCAGATAACATTCGAAAGATAGTACACCCGGGCCTTAAACCATTTAGTCTTGATCATCATCGCAGCATGCCCCAACCGGGTCGAAGCGATGCAAAATAACGATAAAAAAAATATATAAGTGAAAATGGAAAAAGAATCGAGCTAAAGTTGGAAAGAAGACAAAAAGATCAGATTCGGCTAATTGGACTTTTCTAATAAAAATTTGAATAGAAGGGGATAAATAAAAGGTAGAAGAGACTTCAAGAATAATTTAATAACTGTTTACAAATAATATTTGTCTTTACCTCTGACTCATCGTGTATTTGTTTTTCAAGTCGATTTTTCTCAGCTTTGATCATGTCGATTTCGTCTCTGAGGTCGTTTATCTTGATTTCCATTTCCTCGAAACGCTGCTGAAGTACATAAAAACAAACAAAATTTCAACAGTCAATAAAACTCGAAAGCAAGGAATCAACAGATTGAGATATTGAAACATTGGATTTTATTGAATACTCTAGTGTCAGTTTACAGAATAGCGTGAGAATTACAGAATGATTTGGTGAGAGGTGTTCGAGAAAGGATTATTTATTTTTTCTTAGCCCAGGGTCTTGGAGGCACTAGTGTGACAACAACTGGCTCCTAAAAAATAAATTTCCAGTCACTCGTTTCATCAAATAACAATTCGAGGGAGTGAAACCCCATCGCATTTATTTCCGCACGATTTATCTTCGGTTTTATTTACGCAATATTTCGCTTTGAGTGTTTATGATGGCCCAAGGAGAGACAAAAATTTGAATACCGAAATACATCTTTTGTCATTGAGAATTTCGAAAGCGTCGCGTCACTCGTACCTACCTCCATTCGCAGTGTTAAACACAAACAGGAGAGCATTATTCACTAAATTCTTTCGGCCAGTGGATAAGAACAATATTTAATCAAAAATAAGTGCTTATCGATTGCCTAAACACCATCGAGCAGTTCACAAGACATTCAATCGTTTTTGCTCCTTTATAAAAAAAAAACGTGAAGAAATTCAATTTCTGCGACTATTTCGAATCGAAATAACGAAGAAAAAACAATTTTCTCTCGTTATTACACACATTATCGACAGTACTTGATGACAAAACCCTCAAAAATGATCAAGAGTTTCTGAATATTCATGAACAGGATAGTATAATGCGCTAATTGTTTTCCAGCCAGTGGATAACAACAATATTTAATGAAAAAATAATTGATTATCGATTTCCTAAACATCATCGAAGAAGTTACAAGACATTCAATCATTTTGACTTCTTTACAAAAAACGAACACGTGAAGAAATTCAATTTCGACTCGAAATAACGAAGAAAAAATAATTTTCTCTCGTTATTGCACTCATTATCCATAATTGATGACAAAAACCTCAAGACTAATCAAAAGCTCGTGAATATTCATAAACATAAGAGTATTGTTTATGAAATTCTTTCAGCCAGCGGACAAGAACTATATTTAGTAAAAAAAATTGACAAAATAATTGATAAATAAAAAAAGAAAATGTGAAGAAGTTGCATTTTTTGACTATTTCAACTAGAAATAACGATGAAAAAAGATTTTCTCTCGTTACTACACTTATTATCATCAATAATTGATGACAAAGACCACAAGAGTAGTCAAAAGTTCGTGATTATTCATAAACAGCAATCAAAAGTAATCGTTTATCGAGTTTATTAATCCCACCGAACAATTCCCGAAATATTCAATCGTTTTTACTCCTTCATAAAACAAGAAAACGTGAAGAAATTAAATTCTGAGACTATTTGGACTCGAAATGAGGAAGAGCAAATGATTTTCTCTTGTTATTACACTCATTATCATCAGTTATCAACGATAAAACCCCAAAACATAATCAACAGTTCGTAAATATTTGATGGGACGAGTGTGAAAGTGCACGACGCAGAGTAAACTGGGTAGAATGAATATTCGTGAGGCCTGAGGAGCCGTGGAACGTCCCATACTCCCCACCTATTATTAGCATTTCGAGCAAAGGCATCTTCAACACCCCGAATCTCACATGTTGGCTCTCTCTTATTCTACCGAAATGACGAACAGGAAATTGAGAAATAAAACAGCCAAGGGGTTGAATTATGGAATTGATCTGTTTTCGCAGCCGATTTAATCCTCTGTTTTTCGAGATAATCGACGTCTCGGGCTCGGAATAATGTGTCTAACAATCACTATAAATGTTCATTCACAGTAAATCTTGATAAAAAAATAAATAAAATGGTAAAAATTTCGTTTTAGTGGAAGCACTGATGAGTAGAAGCTATCATGCATTTTTGTCAAAATAAAAAGGAAAAAGAAGAGTTATTCTGAAATTTCAACACTCCGGATTTATTTACTTTTCAATGTTTAAATCATAATATTACCTCACATTTGTAAAATTATCTCGAAACTGAATCGATTAAAAGGAAAATATCAAAAGAAATTTTTTGTAGAAAATTTGGTCAGTTACAAGAAAATTTATCTGATATTTTTGGCTAAAGTCATCAGTTTCTGAGCTAATTACATATTTAAGATGACATAATTAATGAAGAGTTATTGTTGAACATAATATTGTTTTTTATTTGTGCAATTATCTAGAAAATTGATCGTTTTAAAACAAAATATCATAAGACTTTTTTGTCTGAAATTTTGTCAGCTACAAGAAAGATATTATGATATTTTTGGCTAAAGTCATCAGTTTCTGAAATAATTACGTAATTGAGAAGACGGAAGTGATGAAGAGTGACTGTTAACCATAATATTGCTTATTATTGCTAAATAACACCAAACAATTATTATAACAAACAATTATTTTAATTTGTTACAGTATTTTGGTTTGTTATTTTCAATTATCTCAGAAATGAGTCATTTTAAGACTCAGGCACGAAATAATATGCGTGACAGTCAGTATAAATGTTCATCCGCAGTAAATCTTTGTAAAAAAATCGGTAAAATTGTAAACATTTTGTCTTATTGGAAGCCCCAATGAGTAGAAGCTATTACGCAGTTTTGTCAAAGTAAAAAAGAGAGGAGAAGAAGAGTTAATCTGAAAATAAAGAAAAAAAAACAGCTTTCAACACGGATGGACCCAGAGACACTCCAGATTTATTCATTTTTCAATATTTAGTTCATAATATTACCTGTTATTTGTGCAATAATCTCAAGAATGAATTGCAATGAAGCAATATTGCCATAAAGCAAAATATCAAAACATTTTTTGTAGGAAATTTTGTCAGTTACAAAATAATTCGTTTGATATTTTTGGCTAAAGTCATCAGTTCCTGAGATAGTAACATAATTAAGAAGACGGAAGTGGTGAAGAGTGTTTGTTGAACATAATATTGCTTGTTATCTCTAGAATTATCTCAGGAATGAGTCATTTTTTGTTTTTTAGGAAATTTTGTTAGCTACCGAGACGATTTTACGATTATGTTAAATAAAGTTATTAGTTTCTGAGATATTTATTGAAGATGAAGTGGTGAAAAGTAATTCGTTAAACATGATAATTTTTGTTTGTGTAATTATTTTAGAAATGACTGGTTTTCAGGAAAAATGTCAAGACATTTTTTGTAAGAAATTTTCCCACAAGTTCTCCTGACATTTTTTAAAGATAATTACGTAATGAGAAAGGAATAAATGAAATTCAGAAATAAAACAGCCAAGATGTTGAATTATGGAATTGATCTGTTTTCGCAGTTGATTTAATCCTTTCTTTTTCGAGGTGATCGATGTCTCGGGCATGAAATAATACGTGTAACAGTCAGTATAAATGTTCATTCGCAGTAATCTTTACAAAAAAAAACAGGTAAAATTGTAAAAATTTTGTCTTATTGGAAGCACCGATGAGTAGAAGCTATCATGCAGTGTTGTCAAAGCAAAGAGGAAGAAGAAGAAGAGTTATTCTGAAAATAAAGAGAAAAAATAACGGCTTTCAGCGCTGATGGACCAAGGGACACTTCAGATTCATTAATTCTTCAATGTTTAATTCAATTCAATCGAGTTTACAACATTATGAAACTAGATTATAATCGGTTAATCGTTAATTAAGCATCTAGTGATAATTAATTTCGTCTTTTTAGAATGAGGTATGACAGGGTTAATGTCATGAGAGTAATGAGAGTGTTGTTCCTTTCCGAAAAAAATGGAAAGCATTTGATAATTTACCGACCTGACTCGACGATTTCTTCTCCAGTGAATCGTCGTCCATCTCCAGGGTTAAATTTCGCTTCACTGAGGACAACTGGGCATTTCTCTTGGTTCTTGATTCAGACTCTTTGAGCTTATTGGTCTCCAACTTCAACTCTTCTATCTTTTTGTCCTTCTTGCTGAGCTTTTGCTCGAGGTGTTTCGTACGGCCCACGAATTCCTGGATCATTCTGAGGGCTTTGTTATGGTCTGTTTGCACTTTTTTCAGATCTCGTTGGGTGGCTTCCGCGGTCTCTTGAACGTTGCAGAGTTTCAACATCAGTTGCTTCTTGGTTTCTTCTTGGTCTTTCAGCTTACGATCTCTCTCTTCGAGTTCCTGAGGAAAGGTCAAGGGTAATTGATCAGTTTTAACAATATTCTTTGTTAGTTGAAGTGATTTTGGGGGGAACGGGGGATGGCCTAGGCAATTTTTGATATTTTTCTGGACTTTAAATTGGGTTTTTGCATGATTTTTATTAATTTAATAAAGTAATGTTTAGACAGACTTCTTGGATATTTTTATGGAGTGAGACTTCCACTGAAATGTGACAGATAGTTAGTGAAAATTCATAAATTCATGAAAAAAACGCGAGAAATTGTGAATTTTAGTTCAATTATTTAATGAAAATGAAGATAAATCAGGAAAATTCAGGTAAATTTATTCTTGAATTTTCGGTTAATTGGAAATACAGCTTCATTTTGTACTCAATACGACAATTAGATGAAAAATATTAGTTACGTATTCTTTTCTGAAATTTTCGGTACATTTTTCGGTAATTTTGATCAAGCGACAGTTACACTGAAATTTCAAAGAAATTCGTCATTTAAAATTCACGTATTGATGAAAAATCTACAGAAATAGCGAATTTCAACTAAATTATTCCATGAAAATGAATATAAATCAAGAAAATTCAGCTCAATTTGGTACTGAATACAACAATCGAATGAAAGATATCAATGCATATTTTTTTCATTCGAAAAACGATTAAAAACCAAGAAATGACACCCAATTAACAAAAACATTCCATTGCAGACGTTTTTAATTCCCTATAACGCACTGAATTTTCATCATTCACCTAAACAAAAAAATACGTGTCTCATCTTTTAATATTTTTTAACTCGAGTAAATAAATTTAATGCAAAACCCCAATTATTCAAATGGTGAGTCATTCTATGGAAAATGTGAAGAGACGTTTTTTGTGGTGATTAATTTATTCCGCTCCGAAAATGTCTTTTAGTTCTTCCTCCTGCACGTAATTGTTCACTAAATTAATCTAGAACCGACAACATTTTTAAAATGGACTGATAATAAGGCAAGTTTTCACATTTCGTTCGATATTGACCGAAACATATTAAATTTGTTTTTCTCATCTCATTGAAAAATTCAATTATTACAATGTCAAAATATATTTTCATCTGAAATAACTCGTCCCAGTGATAAACATCAAAATATGCTGTTAAATATATGAGACTTAATTCCAGGAGCAACGACAAAATGTGAATATCGTAAAATGTCGTTTGATGGCGTATGCCTTCATCCTGAAAGTCATTTCATATTAATATCTTCGGTTTAAATAACGTGATCTGCCTAGCGAAGTTCTTTAAAGATCCATGAATCAAAGCAGCTGAAAAGTCTATGCTAACGAGTGCAATAAACTGTTTCCCTTTCCTCGAATGTTAGAAAAACCATAAATTACCGTCGTGAAGTCGTAACTTGAAACTTTGGATTATTTTAAGAATGAAGGGGAACCATTTCTCTTCATTTCCAAACAAAAATTATTCCAAACTGTCCAATGGAACTCGAGAGAAACTCCAATTTCTCATGTTACATCGAAAATAGCTGAATTTTCAGGCCAAAAATGCGAATAAAAAAGCAATAATATGATGAGTGCATTCGTCTTATGAAAGTTTTCAATGAAAACATGAACATTGAAGAATACATTTGCCAAATTTTCCTGATTTTTATTACTTTTCAATTGTGAAAGTCCTTGAAATATGAGGGGAAATTATAATATAATAAAAAATTTATCCAAAAATTACAGCCAAAGATTTTTTTTAACAGTGCGCAGACGAATAGTTCAGTAATACTTCATATAATGTAACAATTTTTAAATGATAAATTTGATTATAGTAATAAGTAAAAACAATTAACAAGAGCCAACGAATTTGTTCATTGAATAACATAATGTAATGTGAAAATTGTGAATTTTAGTTCAATTATTTCTTGAGAATGAATATAAACCAGGAAAATTCAGGAGCACTGTCAGAAAAAACTTGAAATTTCAGAAACAGTTTACTAGTAATTTTCCAGAGAGTAATATTGAATTCGATTTAGAGGGAAAAGTCATGAAATTGAAAATTTCACAGAGAGTTCAATGGAATTACAAATTTTTCTGTAGCGAGAAGACGGGAACTCTCCGGCTTACTTGAATTTTCAACGAAAATATAAGTATTGAGTTTCAAATTACGTCGAATTTGCAATTAATTGATAATCAAGAATATCTTCATCCACACTTTCGTAATTTCTAATCATTTTCATGGAATAATTGCACTGAAACTCTTATTTTCCATTGATTTTTCCCAAAAATTTTGAATTTTCAACAATGGAATTCCCCAAAATTTTAGTGAAACTTCAATGTGACGGAAATTCCCAAGAAATTTTAGTGAATCTTCAATGTGACGAAAATTTCCACGAAATAAACCGAAAATATCAGTCAAAATATTTCAATACTGTAAACACCTTCTTGAATTTGCGATTGACAGTCCCTCTGAAATTCCGAGGAATTGTCATTTAACCCCTCACGACTCTTCAACTACCTCAGGGGCCTTTGTATTACCAATCGCGTATTATCTGCTGAATACGACTCGAATTCGATTATTTCTAATGAATACAAAAATATGAAACCGGTATCTAATTCAAGCTACAACATTCCGGATTCCAATTTTGTTCGTCCGATCAAGTTATTCTTTCTCGATTTGAAAATAATAAATTTTGCAATCAATCGTTCACATTCGCATGAGGGGTTAAAATTCACAATTTCCAAAAAAACTGCAACTGATCCACAAACCTTCACCAACTCCCTGACCTCCTTCTCCTCCCCCGAATTCATCTGCATGATTCCCCTGGCTCTGCAGTCCCAATCGAACGGACTGGTGCATTTGCTCGGACTAGTGACACCAGACGCCTGTCCCGACCTCTGCCCCGACCTCACCCCCTGGGATGAATCATCATAAGTGATTGGACTGCCAGGTGGTGACAGCCTCCTCACGATATTGTTCTCAGACTGGTTCAAGAGTGCTCTATGCTTATTATTCAGATCGGTGAGTGCATCGTCTCTGGACTTGACCGAAGTCCTGAGCTGATCGATCTGCTTCTTCCTCTTCTCCGCGACCTCAGCGAGTTCATCGCAGGCTCGACACTTCTCCTCCAACAGTGCGATCTTCTCCCGGATCAAGCGATCCTTCTCAGCCAATTCACTCTTAAACTGTTGGACTGCACTCTCACGCCTCAAGCCCTCCTCCTCCAGTTCCTTGATCCTCCCCCTGAGCTCCTCGATGTCGCTGTCACGAGCAGCCGTCAACTTCTCTCGATTCCTCACTTCCGCCTCCAGTCGAATCCTCAAGGCATCTCTCTCCGTCTCCAACTCCTGCGCCCAGGACCTCTCATCCTCGAGGCTCGCTGACAACTGCTTAACTTCCACCTCGAGACTCTCCACTAGCTCCTCCATCTGGATCAGCTTCTCCTTGTTCTCCAAGGCTGACTCCGGGGTGATACCGAAGGCCTCTTTGTAGTACATCGAGGGCTCTAGCAGCTTCTCTTTGTAATCTGATAGTTCTGCAATTACAGAGAGACAAAATTTTGTAGTTTTCAGTAACATTCTCTGTAGGGTAGGGTAAACAGGTCAATCTCATGACCTTTATTTTGACCCTCGTGAACCTTATTCTCATCCTCATGACCCATATTCTGACCCTTGTGACCCTTATTCTGATCCTTGTGACCCTTAATCTGACCTTTGTAACCCTTATTCTAACCCTCACGACCCTTATTTTAATCCTCGTGACCCTTATTTTGATCCTCGTGAACCTTATTCTGACCCTTATGACCCTCATTTTGATCCTTGTGAACCTTATTGACCCTCATGACCTTTATTTTGACCCTCATGACCCTTATTTTGACCCTCGTGAACCTCATTCTAACCCTTATGACCCTTAATTTTGAAGTCAATTTCAAGTACCAAATTTTCATCACCAGAAGTAGATTTGGATTTTTATAATATAGAGAGATTCAATGGAAATAAGTAGGTCTTTGGTACTGATTTTCGGAGATTTTCTTTCTAAAAGTATGTAATAATTTTCTTATTCTCAGGACAATGCCCTTTAGAATCTTAAAATCAGTAACTTGGCTCTGAAAACTAGAAACTTCTTTTCTCTGTGTGGATGACGTTTGAGGTTTTCAAATAATTAAGTGGATGAAGAATCCACTTTCAAGTAGTTAAGTGGAGTGGTGAATGGGGTGGGGGAGGGAGGTACCTTGTTCGAGCTCTTCTATTCTTCGCCGTTCGGCCTCTAAGGACTCCTGGTATTGAGCTTGATTGCGAGCCGCTGCTTCTTTTTGCTCTTCGTGCAGTTGAAAGGCTTTCGCCGCTTGACTGAGGAGTTCCTGCTTCTCAATCAGATCTTTCTTCAGGGATTCAAGTTCAACCTGGAGGGGTAAACAGATTGAAGGCGTTGAGCACTTGTGCCTCATTGAGGGTGTTTATTCAATTAGAATTTGTATCATTTTTTATTAGTTAATTGATGCAACCAGGGATAGCCATATCCATAAATTATAATTAGGTAGCGCAGTGGTAAAACGGTTCAAGTCGACTTATCTCCCAGTTAAGTTTTTGAGGAATATTTCCGAATCTAAGAATTATAGCGAAATTTTCGTAATTACATTTGTTGTAGCTCTCAATCGGCTCTACAAAAAAGGTTGTAACAAAATTTTACTATCTCCGTTAGATTCCGAGATATTCATTGAAAACTGGTCAATTGTCAAAATTGACTTGTACCGTTTTACCACTTCGCTACTGAATTACTGTTAAATTATTAAGTAGTAAATCAGATAACAACACTTGTAAATTTTTATTATTGAAGTAATCATCAATTTAAATAGTCAAATTTCGAATTATTCATTAATCAGTAATTGAGAATGAAAGATTGACGATTATTTGGATAGTCGGAAATCCCTTATAAGAAATTTAATATTATCTACTTAATAGAAAATTTATAGTTCCAAATTTTTAATATTTAATTCATCATCAATTGGAAATTTAGATTATCAAATATTTCACTACTTTTTAATTTAAATTAGTATATTGAAACCCTGATCAACACGTCATGAACATTTCAAAAAAAGTCAAGTGTCCTTTTTGTGGTGTCCACCCCACCCTCTCCTATGTTAATCTGAAGTAAAATGAACTATTGTGTCACTGAAACTTACGTTAAGCTCAATATTTTTCTTAATCGTATTCTCGTCCGCCGAACTGATGCCCATTTTCTCCTCGAGAAAGTAAACCCGTAATTTGAGATTGAAATTTTCCTTCTGTAATACGCCCAGTTGGTCCTCATAATCTTTGATGGTTCTGCCAGCATGACCCGAGGCAGTCCCATTGGGAACTTTTCCCGGTGATCTTGGATTTGTGCCTGAACAGAAAATGAAAACAATGAATATATTTTCAGAGATGAAGGAGGAGGTTGGCGATTTTTTTGTCTGTAACCTCGGAAATTCGACATTTGTCCAAACGTCAGGTTTAATTGGTCTTAGACTACATTGCAGGGTAGGCGGATCGTAAAAATTGGAAATAATGAGTGGACACTTAAGATTCACGGTGCGAACATCGCGGGGAGATTCGACGATTAAATTAATTGACAAGATTGTGGTTTATCCATGTTAAATTGTCATCAATTTACGCACGTTCGGCCCAGACAAAGGACATACTTCAGATTAAATCAGGAGTGATGTGATCAAATCAAAGCAAATTTGAAATTATTTCGAAGGGGTGCGTACGAAAAAGAAGTTTCAGAGAGAAAAATTTGCATTAGTTAGGAAATTCCACTGGATTTTCATTATTTTTTCGACAGTTCTGTCAGAAAATTTTTACAATTTTTCGACGTATTTTTAAAAATAGAGAATATTTTGTCGAAAAAACATTGATAGATTTTTGTTGAAATATTTTCTACAGAAATTTCTTGGTATAAGTCTCCTAAGTTTTGTTTTCACTAGACTTTTTCCTCCTGTAAAGAAAATTGAATCAAAAAATTGGAGCTAAGATTTTTTTGCAACAAATTTTTCGTTATCACCAGAATTAAATTTTGAAAAAACACTTCATAAAAAAACTCCTTTCCGGTTTTTTTAAAATTTACAACCATTCGAAATATTTTCAAAATAATCTACCACATTATTTATTCAACTTGGGGTTTATTCATGTTAAATTGTCATTAATTTATGCGCTTTATCAGAACATTTTCGCAATTTTTCCACGCGTTTTAAAAAATAGAAAATATTGATTTAAAAAAGAAAATACAGAACTCAATTTTTCTAACAAATCATTCAATTGAGATATTTTTCATAGAAATTTCTCAAGATAAGTTTTCCAAGTTTTCCTTTCACTTGACTTTTTCCTTCTTTCTTTAAAAAATTAAAGCAAAACAACAATAAAACGCAATATCTTTCTGCAACAAATTTGTAGTTATCATCAACAGAATGAAATTGAGAAAAAAAATCACATAAAAAAGCTCTTTTCCCATTTTCATATATAAATTCCCAAGCATTCAAAATATTTTCAAAATGATCTGATACATGTTTTCATTCAACTTCTACTTGGAACTAGAAAAACATAAATGTTAGAAAATCCAAAAATGTTCGTTGACATTTTCCTCGCCCGCACACACTGCCAACTCTCATAAAATCATGTTTTACGATGGCTAAAACTGATAATACTAAGAAAATTAGCTAGAAGTTTCGTTCATTTTCCCCGTAGTCCGTATGAAAACTTATTATTAAATAGTTCTAATTAGTGACCCAATTCACCGTCTCGTGCCTCTATTTCAGGCCCGAACATTCATCTGGCCACCTGTTACGAGGGAAATTAATCACCGGGTCGATGGCAATCTTCGATGCGTCTCCCGGTGTGTGATACTCATGACTGCTCACGTGCCAACTTCGCAGTGATCATCAAAAACCATCCGAGGCGTCCCGACGTATGCACACTTTTTGACCCTTTTGGCCATGTACCAAAGACAATTGTAGCCTGTACGACCTATTATTATTCCTCTTGTTTTTCACGACGCACACGCATTTTCTTTCTATTACCTTTATACGTTACTTCTGAACTCTCTTTTTGATCCTTCGGTGTCAATTCGAAAGTTCACGACTCTTTTGGCTCACAAACGGAAGCCAATGGAGTTAAATTTATTCCAATAAAAGGAATACAAAAAATAATTGGACTTGGCGGTGGAAAGTAAAGAAAGTTTTCATTTTGCTTTCAATGAAAATTGAAAATTGTTGGAGGACGTTTTTTATTAAAAACTTTAAACGATAGCAAAGTTTTTAAAATTTTTTGTTAATCCAATAGTTTTTAAGAGATTGATAAAATAATTTCTTTCAAATTCGTTTACTTATTTCTTTTCAGAACTTGTCAGTAAAATTATTCTTTCAATATCTTCAGAAGAAAAGGTTAAAAAAAATGTAAAAATATATTCTTCATTGAGAATTTCATGGCCAACAAAAAATATACTTCTGGCGTTTTCCACCACATTAAATGTTTTTTAAGATATTTATAAAATATCTTTCAACAGATCTTTTCCTCCATCTTCTTTCCTGAATATTGAAAAAAATATACACGAAAAGGAAATTATGAGAGAATTAGTTTAATAAGAAATTTCGCGGACAATGAAAAAAAACTCTTGTGATATTCTTTATGAACAATTTGATGGCTGACATCAAAATTTTCTTGATGTTTTTGTTTAAATCCACTGGTTTTCAAGAAATTTATAAAATGATTCGATTAAAATTTATCCAGTTATTTCTTTTCAGAAGTTGTCAGCAGAATTTTTTATTTAATATCTGCAGAAGAAAAAGTTCGGGAAGAAATTTAAAAATAAAAAAAAACCGCGAAATAAAATTTTTATTTCGTTTCTTTAGGAAATGAGGAAGACAATTCTTTAGGAAAATACAACTTCCATCAAAAGACTTGAAAAAAATACAGCAATCAATTAAACTAAGTCAGTCAGAGCTCAATGAAAAATCAGTCATTCAGGAAGAAATGTGAAAACACATTCTTCATTGAGAATTAAAAAAAAATCTACTACTGGCGTTTTCCCCTAAATCAAATATTTTCTAAGATATTTATAAAATATCTTTCAACAGATCGTTCCATTCATCTTCTTTCCTGAACGTTTTCCAAAGAAATGATGAAGAGGAAATCATGAAAGGACTATTTCTAAAAGAAATTTCGCGGACAATAAAAGAAACTTTTGATATTTTCTTCAAAACCCATTAGTTCCCGTGACGTACCCAAACCAATTAGTCTTAAAAATTCCATCGAATAAAGTAATTCCATAATTTTACCAAACATGACTTCTACCCTAACGGGTTTATCTTCACCGTCCGATTCTTCACTGACAGTCGAAGATTCAACTCGTGATTTACTACATCCCATAACACGTGAGCCTCTTCCCTCCAGTTACTCCTCATCTCTCATCACCGCAGCACAAAGACTCCCTTTTGATATCTCAATCGCGCAATTTCCTTCTGTTTCCCGCTTCAAATGCCCGTCAAAAGAGCATCTTCAGCGGCCAGAGTAGCACTGCCGCCGAATGGCAACTGGCCTCTCTCTCAGCCAAAAGTCGAAAGCATCCAATCGTTATGTACGTAGCTAGCAGTTTAAAATTAATGTTCAAGTATATTTCGACGAGACGTAGTTGGTAGACGTAACCAGAGTATGAAGTTCAGTTTTTACGAGTGGAGGCTATGTAATCGGAATTTTTTGTCACTGCTGCTACGTTCGCCTCGTGCCGAAAAGTGTCTTTATGTCATTAGGCCCGATAAACCGCGATTCTAACTTTGCTTCGCTCGGTTAGATCGCGGTTTTCGGGCCCAATGGCATAAAATATCGTATATCACACGAAGATAAAAATATTATCTGGCAAATGTGATTATAATAAAGCCATATTCGGCAGATAATATTTTTATTTTATTTTTTTTTATTTTTTTTTATTTTTATTTTTTTATATGATTATAATAAAGCCACATTCGCCAGATAATACGGAAGATTACGGCAATTCAACACAAACTTGGATATCACAAATTTAGTTCAATGTGATTATAATAAAGCCACATTCGCCAGATTAGTATATTTCTAACCTAGGGAGGTAAAATAAAGAACCCTTGCCCACGTGCTTATCAACCTTGCCTTCGGCTCGGCTGCAGAATTATCAGCCGAAAAAAAAAATTATTTCAAATAATTGAGGTTTCAGTTTTATAATTATTACATTTTATTATTATTATTATCATTATTATTCTTATTATTACAGGTATATATATATACTACTGTATCGCCACCGTCCTTCTAACGGCAAATATTATTAAAAACTATCATTATATTTTACTGAAAAGAATTATTATTATTTAAAATAATTGATCGGCTGCAGAATTATCATCCGAGCCGAAGGCAAAGTTGATAAGCACGTGGGCAAGGGTCTTTTATTTTACCTTCCGTGGTTAGAACGCAATTTTTCTGTTCCGGCGTAGGAGCAAAGTCAGATTTCCCTCCCGCGAAGCGGGAGGGAAATGTCACTTTGCTCCCGTCGGAACAGAAAAATACTTTTTTCACACACCTGCACGAAAAGTTCGTACTTTCCTTCCGCTCATCAAAGAGCAAAATACGAACTTTCCTTTGCAGACGAGTTAAAAAATAGCATGTGCACCTCGGGCGGGAAAACATGATTTTCCGCCCTTGACGCACAATATACTATTATCGCCTGATGACATAATATACTGTTTTGTCAATGTCTGGCAAATGTGGCTCAATTTCGTTCAATGTGATGTACGGAAAGCTCAATTTAAACATCGGCTTCATTCGAGAAAACAACATTCAAATTAACGCTGAGGACTGTTGTATTTGATTCAAGTAAATCTATCTCAAGAAAAAATAATTGGTATTCACCGTAAGATCTTATTTATTTGTCATTGGTTCAAGTACATAATACTTGTTCCAAGAAAGAAACATTTCAATAAAACAATTTTTTCCATCGGCGTAGGTGAATCCAAAGAATTCTCTTTATCAAATTTTTTCGCACGTGATTATCTAGGCGCCAGGGATTGACACGAAGTGAGACTGTACAGGAATGAAGAATTTGAAAGAAAAATAATACAAAAAAGGGGTGAAATTCCGGGGGTCAGTGTGATGGGGTATTCGTGACTCACTGGAGTGGAGTCCCAATAGCTTTCAGTTGCAGTTTTAAGTTGCATCTGGCCCCCCCTAGTCTATCGAATACGAGACTCGGGCATGTCTGGGGGCTCGAAAGTATTTATAGATGACACATTTAGGACGAGAATCGGTAGAACTCTCTTTATTTCAGAACCATCCATTTCTCCTCTTCATGAATCCATTTATTTCTGATTGGGGAGTACGGAGAGTCGG